TTGGGAGCTTTCTTCGAAGTCGGAGTGGATCTGCCTGAGAGGCAACGAACCATCTGTCTGCATATAAATGTGTCAGATCTGTCAAACAGATGCACATGCAACACACAGGTTATGGAACAGAACTGCAGTCCAGAAGTGGACGAACAACCATAACTTTCCACTAGAGTTTACAGCTGGCGAACGCAAAGAAGAAGAATAAGGTAAAAAGTCAAGTTAAAGGACCTCTTTCCATGCCTTCAGGTGTGTTGGGCATATAGGGCTGGATTTATATAGAAAAGACCAAACTGCACTCGGTGGCTGATGTGGTCAGCATAATGAATGGCGAATCTATTAATTAAGAAATTGTAAGGTGCGTAGCAAAAAGACAAAACATCTATTGCAAGAGCCTTAGTTGCATCCGAAAGTTCAAATTCCTGACAAAAGTACTAAACCCTATTGCTAGAAAGTTCCACAAGTCAGCTATAAACAAACCACAGAATCACGTGTTACAACTATCACTTCTCCAGAAACTCTATCTACCCGACCAGACATCGCAAATAATAAACATAAATCCCACAATACCACGGCTTCAAAGACAATACAGTCACGTGAGATCTTTATGAAAGAAGAGTGCTAAAGGAAGTAATTGTACAGCATGAGTATGTTTGGCTCGTCATACAAGAGGATCCTGCCCGGTTCTTCATTCTTCCTTCGGCCATATTGCGGACATATGACAAGACAACCACATTTACATCGATTACCCCTCCAGGTAGATGTTGGTGAGCTTTGTCGAGTCGGGTGGAAGACATGTTTGTTTGATCTGTGAAGAGAGCTTTCCCCCATTGTGGGAGAGATTCAATGGTATAGAAACTGATATCTCTTTAATATACAGCATTCCCCTTTGTTAGCCCCTACGTGTGTCAGTATATATTTATTTTCTATATGGTTCATTACTTTTTTAATATCTTTCTTTCTTTCCCCCCCCCCCCCCCACCCAAATATCTAGAAACCATGAGTTGTTTGTTAACCCTTTGGCTCGGTACTATGGATATAGCAACCTTCGGCCTTGATTCTATTATAGGTACCGTAAATCTGGGAGAAATGTGGCTTTTCTGCCTACCCCCGGGAGTGAACCCGGACCACAGGGAGTTCGTTACCCTGTAACCGCAAAGTCAGGTTTAGCCATCAACTCTAGAGAGCCGGGCTATATATTTCCTAAAACTACTACCATATTTTCTAGTGGGACGCCGTGGTGTAGCGGCTGGACGTTCGCCTGCGGATCGGAAGGTCGTAAGTTCAGGTCCGGGCAGTACCAGTCTTTACCTGATAACCATTTAAGGCTGGGTGGAACTGGGAGCCAAGGTCAAGTTTAAAAACAGTCCTACTCTGATCGATTCTGAACCCACGATATTCGAATCCCAAGGGTAGAGTCTAAGCGCCCCACCACCTCGGCCGTCTGGGTATAGGGTGCTAGACATAATTCTTTAGACCAGTGGTTCTCAACCTTCTTAATGCCGCCACCCTTTAATACAGTTTCTCATGTTGTGGCAACCCTTTAATACAGTTCCTCATGTTGTGGCAACCCTTTAATAAAGTTCCTCATGTTGTGGCGACCCTTTAATACAGTTCCTCATGTTGTAGCGACCTTTTATTACAGTTCCTCATGTTGTAGCGACCCTTTAATACAGTTCCTCATGGTGTGGCAACCCTTTAATACAGTTCCTCATGTTGTAGCGACCCTTTAATACAGTTCCTCATGTTGTAGCGACCCTTTAACACAGTTCCTCGTGGTGTGGCAACCCTTTAATACAGTTCCTCATGTTGTGGCAACCCTTTAATACAGTTCCTCATGGTGTGGCAACCCTTTAATACAGTTCCTCATGTTGTGGCGACCCTTTAATACAGTTCCTCATGTTGTGGCAACCCTTTAATACAGTTCCTCATGTTGTGGCAACCCTTTAATACAGTTCCTCATGGTGTGGCAACCCTTTAATACAGTTCCTCAAGTTGTGGCGACCCTTTAATACAATTCCTGATGTTGTGGCAACCCTTTAATACAGTTCCTCATGTTTTGGCAACCCTTTAATACAGTTCCTCATGGTGTGGCAACCCTTTAATACAGTTCCTCATGTTGTGGCGACCCTTTAATTCAGTTCCTCATGTTGTGGCAACCCTTTAATAAAGTTCCTCATGGTGTGGCAACCCTTTAATACAGTTCCTCATGTTGTGGCGACACTTTAATACAGTTTCTCATGTTGTGGCGACACTTTAATACAGTTCCTCATGGAGTGGCGACCCTTTAGTACAGTTCCTCATGGTGTGGCGACACTTTAATACAGTTCCTCATGGAGTGGCGACCCTTTAATACAGTTCCTCATGTTGTGGCCGCCTTTAAATACATTGTTTCTATGTTGTGGCGACCCCAAGCCATACAATAAAAAAAAAAAAACTATTTCATAACTTCAGTGAATATACGTTTTCCGATGTTCTATGGCGACCCCGGTGAAAGGGTCGTTTGACCCACAAAAGGGTCGAGACCCACAGGTTGTGGACCGCTGCTCTGGACCAACCGGTACTAGTTGGTTGACGTGGTCAGTATCAAATCGGCCACCTTCACTTGCTAGGTCATTAACTAGGGCTAATTCGTGTTCAGGTTGTGTCGATCTTGGAGTTAAGGTCCATTTTAGAGAAAAATGAAGCGAAAATCCGCATAGATGCTGATTTAAACCCTAGACCTCCTAATTACAGGCAAGAATCTAACCGCTAAACCACCGTGGCTGCAGACTCGACTACAACAACTCCTGCTACCATTAATATTAGGCCTATTATAAATCCCCGTGTGGGTACCGGCACCCCATGGTGGAGAGGGGCAAAAAAAAGGTGGGGGGGGGGGGTGGAGTTGTCGGTAAATTCTCATATTCTTGAAATAATATAAACAACGTATTGTCATTATCAACTTAATATCTTTTAGAAAACAAATGAAGACTCCTAAACTGATATCAGTATATTATTTCCCGAGCGCAGAATCCCGGACAAAGCCTTATCTGTCAACTAGATACTGCTGCAAACAAGATTACTCCATGGATATTAACACATACAAACATTCATACTCGGTAGTTTTCCCACCACCCACTGTTTGGTATCTGGCCTGTGCTGCTGTGTGACAACTCAGCAAATGCTGAATTACACGTTGTGCCGTTGTATTGTGGATAATTTCTCTGTAATTACTTATCCTGGAAATGTGATTTTTTTTTTTTTTTTGCATGAGCTCCTATTTTTATCTCGACATTATTGTATTATATATAAATATTATGTAGACCGTCAAGATGTATCGAAACAGAGGTTTTCTGTATTATTTTCATCACTTGTTTAATTTTTGTTAATTTATAGCGGGGCATTGCGACACTTTCAGTGCAACACTTGTGGTCTTATTCAGCATTTACATAAAACTCAGTAAACAGAGAAATATCGATTAGATGCGTTTGGACTTTTTGCTGTTTAACTCTTGAAACCACCCATTGTATATTTATATACCCCGCAGCAGCAAAAATAGCAGAGCAGCCGACTAAAACAACAAAACATTGCAACCACCCATTTTGATGGGAAATGCGGAAAAAGAAGAAGAAGAAGAAGATGAAGAAGAAGCAGAAGAAGAAGAAGAAGAAGAAGAAGAAGAAGAAGAAGAAGAAGAAGAAGAAGAAGAAGAAGAAGAAGAAGAAGAAGAAGAAGAAGAAGAAGAAGAAGAAGAAGAAGAAGAAGAAGAAGAAGAAGAAGAAGATGATGAAAAAGAAAGAAAAAAAGTGGGAAATGGGAAGGAACAGAAGAAGAAGAAGAAAAAGAAAAAGAAGAAGAAGACGAAGAAGAAGAAGAAGAAGAGTAAGAAGAAGAAGAGAGAGAAAGAAAGAAAGAAAGAAAGAAGAAAAGAAAGAAAGAAAGAGGGAAAGAAAGAAAAGAAAGAAAGAAAAGAAAGAAAGAAAGAAAGAAAAGAAAGAAAAGAAAGAAAGAAAGAAAGAAAGAAAGAAAGAAAGAAAAAGAAAGAAAGAAAGAAAAAAAGAAAGAAAGAAAGAAAGAAAGAAAAGAAAGAAAGAAAGAAAGAAAGAAAGAAAGAAAGAAAGAAAGAAAGAAAGAAAGAAAGAAAGAAAGAAAAGAAAGAAAGAAAGAAAGAAAAGAAAAGAGAGAAAGAAAAGAAAGAAAGAAAGAAAGAAAGAAAGAAAAGAAAGAAAGAAAGAGAAAGAAAGAAAGAAAGAAAGAAAGAAAGAAAGAAAGAAAGAAAGAAAGAAAGAAAGAAAGAAAGAAAGAAAGAAAGAAAGAAAGAAAGAAAGAAAGAAAGAAAGAAAGAAAGAAAGAAAGAAAGAAAGAAAGAAAGAAAGAAAGAAAGAAAGAAAGAAAGAAAGAAAGAAAAGAAAGAAAGAAAGAAAGAAAGAAAGAAAGAAAGAAAGAAAGAAAAGGGAAGGGAAGAGGAGGAGTAGAAGGATGAGGAAGACAAATAGAAGGTGAAGGAGGGGAATAGCACCGAACCCCCTTTGTCATACTTGTGCCACACACACTGTATGTGAATATGTATTTTGTTGTGCCCTATGTATGTTTTAAATAGAGCTCTCTGTTGTTTAATAAACGTGATCAAGCATGACCACATGTTATGTCAATATCAAAATACATTTTACCCCTCAAACATTCATGCTTCTAATTTTCCTTGTTTATTTAATTTTCTGTTTCTTAAAAAAAAAAAAAAAAAAAAGAATTAGCAAAGTCAGTGCTTCCTTCTTTGTGCATTAAAATCGTATATTTTGTTTTAAATTCCAGGTATTTCCAGAGTTATTATCAAGGCCCTGAATTTGAAGACTCATTCTATCATGATACTTTCCTTTGTCGTCACTGGTTGATCTAACTCCGTGAGACAGGTTCTAGAGGAAAAAGCGATCTTTCAGTAGAAAGAAAGAACGATTTTATAATTTTAAATAGAGAACACAGCAGTGTATTATTTTCTTGTTTGATTTCTGTGACCTGTCGTACATCAAAGTATGGAGTGTCTTCTTGAACATAAACCTTACGATTCGTCCATGAAGGTGTATGATTCATCTACTTTAAAGTCGTATGACTCATCATTGAAGTCTTACGACCCACATATAAAATATGAAGGTCATATGAAACAATATGAGCAACATCTGAAGCCATATGAGACATCAATGAAACCATACGAAACATCAATGAAACCATATGAAACTTCAATGAAATCTTACGACACCAGATCATATGACAGCGTAATGAAACCATATGACACGTCAATGAAACACTACGACCATTCAGCAATGCTGCCGGTCTCCAACGGTCATGATCTTTGTGAGATCAAGAATATAGCAGGGTCAAAAATTGAAAGCAAACCCTCAGGTGGTATTGGGTCAGCAGCAAGTGGTAGCCAATCGGCTAGCAATGGAGGTGGCCGAGAAGATGCTGATAGCGAAGATGAAGCTCCAAGCACAACCACAAATCCTCCTGAAAGCCCTGAAGAGGAGGGAAAGAATGGAAAGAAATCCGGGGTTGGAGTCAGAAGATCAGAAAAGCCTCCATATTCCTACATTGCTTTGATAGTTATGGCGATACAATCTTCTCCAACGAAAAGATGCACACTGAGTGAGATTTACCAGTTTCTCCAGCAGCGTTTTCCCTTCTTCAGAGGCAGCTACCAGGGGTGGAAGAACTCTGTCAGACACAACTTGTCCCTGAATGAATGTTTTATCAAGCTGCCCAAAGGAATTGGGCGTCCAGGAAAGGGTCACTTCTGGACCATCGACCCCGCGGCGGAGTTTATGTTTGAAGAGGGATCCTTCCGTAGAAGACCGCGAGGCTTTCGTAGAAAATGCCAAGCGTTGAAACCTTTCGGAATGTTGAACGGGATGGGCAGTGGTGGACCAATGATGAGTCATTATGATTTTATGGGAGCGCATAACACTGGCATGAGTCCTATGAACATGCCTTGTGGGATGTCCAGTGGGCAAATGTCATCATATGATCCTTACTCACAACAGATGATGTCCGGAAACTCTATGCAGCAGATGAACATGGGTGGTAATTACGGTTCGTATAACAGATATAGCCAAGGTGCATGCACAATGCCTGGAATGGGTGGGTTTCAATCAACAGTACCCAGCCTACCCAGTATGGCCTCCATGTCCAACATGACAGCTGGATTGCCAAGTATGTCTAATTTTCAAGGGGTATCGAACATCCACAACATGTCTTCTTCCAACTTATCCGGCTTTCACCATAGCCTCACCAGTATGAACGCAATGGGCCATGGTATGGGACCTTCAGATTATAATCTAGGAACATGCAACGTCTCCAGCGGGTTTCCTCCCCCTGTGTCTTCAACGCCAAATATGACGCCTCCGTCGTACGATCGCGAAATCATGGGATCTTCAATGAGGGACCCAACCTCTAGGGAGAACCATTCAATACTTCTCCGAGATTCGATTAACTCTGATAGTATGGGAAGAGATACTTCTGGAACAACAGGAGGAGTCGGCGTTGCTCAGCCAGTGTCCAGAGATGGTCTTCTTTCGCCGTCCTCGGATATTACAGGACGCGACACAACCATCTCAATGACAAACAAATACCCAGGAAGCAGCCCATCAGCGTATTCTACAAGAGACACATCGATCACAAGAGACCCTTCTTATCACATGCGGGATGCAGCAATATATTCAAAAGACACTTCAGCCATGCGCGACAACTCTACACCTCTTTATGCACGGGAATCCATCTCGGATTCCCTCCGTGACTCTTCCATGTACCACAGAGAGCAGCCAGATATATTCAGTAGGGACTTCACATCAACCATGACCGGGGGACCAAGCGGCAACTTTACAGGACTTTACCAGTGGAGCGGGCCTGCCAACAGGGGCGGCTACCCTGGGGTGGTTAAGCAGCAGCCTTTGTCCCCGGCAGGAAGTACTGGTTCCTTACAAAGTATGTCGCCGCCGTCAGGAAGTGACCAAAGCTCGTATGGCAACGCCAGCGGTCACCCACTGGGCAGTGAGAGCATGGATCTGTCAGTTGCAGGTAACTTTCACTTTTGTTTTCATGATGCTTAAATACATAGAATCTTTGTCTTCTTTTCATTGTCTCTACCAGTAGTTTTTTTTATTTTTTATGAGAAGGCATCATATGCCTTTATGAAGTGTGTGGAGCCACTTATATCTTTCCCTGTTGCATACAGCTTGTTTTACATTGGAATGTGAACAGGCCGAATTCGAGATCTTTCTACTTCACATAGAGAGCATGTACGTAAATCACATGTTCAGTATTCTGTGGTGCCCATCTACAAGAGCAAAGTCCCCAGTCTTGAATTGCTTGTACACATGGCTGCAGAGTCTGTTGTGTCCAGTGCATAGTCTAAACATGATGGCCTTTTTTCCCCTTTGTGTAAGCAGGGAGAGTCTATATATGTTGAATATTAGGTGTTTATATTACATTGTCTGGACTTTCTTCCTTTAGGATATTATCACTTTTACTAGCTTTCTTTTAGTATCAGTATTTATTATTATTATTATTTTTATTATTAAATATCCTAACTAATTCCTGTAGGATCATTATTACAGTTCAAATTTTAGGCTATAACCCTAAAGTACTGTTATTATTTACATATACTAAGATTTATACTTATACTACTGCATTACGTACTCTAGACTTCCCCTCTCTAGTACTCGTTGTTGTATAAATGTCAGAGTTTCTTAATTTATTTCGGTTATTATACATTCTAGACTTTCTTTACGTAATGTCGTTTTCACAGTTTCCCTTTTATAAACGTTACTTTAGAGTTTACTCGCAGGTTATCGTTTTTACGTATACTAGACATAAGACATTCTCCCTGCGACATTCAACAAGCTTTTCTCCATATTACTTTTGTGAAACCAGTGATTCCCCAACTGTGCGCCGCCGCGCCCTGGGGAACTAGGACCTCTTCACAGGGGCGCCTCAATATATTCAAAAATACACGATTTTTTTTTTTAATTTCTTACTAACTTAGGAATTTCCCCCTATCGAAATACCTGGTTCTTTTTTTAAAAAGTTTTCGGTAATCTTCCTATATTCAGTAAAAGTAACGGACTTTTCCCCACGATTTCGGGATCTTCCTATATGACCTTTATTATACACACTAAACAGACAACCCTGTCACTTAGACACAATGAAGGCAGTCAAGAGGTAGACCACACAAGCAATGGATAGATGGAATATCCGAGGCCGTAACTACCAGCATCTTTGTAGCACATACCAAGGCAAACAGCAGATATATGGGAAGATATATGGGAAGTTTAGGCAATGTCAGCATTAAGAATTATAGCGGGAAATGTAATGGCTGTAGATGCATCGCTTCGTCACTTATAAACCAAACTCCAACCGCGTATATGACTTGTTAACCTCTTCGTAGCATAAGATGTCGTATTAGCTAAACAGTTAGAGTTTAATAACCTGGTTCGGTACATAACATACTTACGACATTGGCTTAGAGGTAACAGAAATAGTTTTAAAATTCAAACTTTGATATTTCAGTTTTGATTCACCCCAAACAATGGAAATCCTAAAGTACTTCGGATAGTCCAAACACATCACGTGACATCAAAGTGATTGCTTTTGTTTTTCATTCGTTTTTAAAAAAAAATACACTATGTGTTTTTTTTTATAATCCTCAACCCAACCCCCCCCCCCCCCCCCCCCCCGCCATCCCTCCCCAAGTCATAAGCCCTAACTGTAACCAGTGTTAAATCTGTCCTAAACATAACTACTAGGTTTGTTTGAGCTGAATTACATTTGAAGGACACCAATTTTGACATAAAACGGTCCCATGTCTGCGTCCGCTATAAAGAAAACAGATTGTTCTTGTGGCTTTTAATTGACATAAAACGGTCCCATGTTTGCGTCCGCTATAAAGAAAACAGATTGTTCTTGTGGCTTTTAATTGACATAAAACGGTCCCATGTCTGCGTCAGCTATAAAGAAAACAGATTGTTCTTGTGGCTTTTAACAATGACACGGGAGTCGCAATATCTATAGTCTGTTTAATACGGGACCATCTTTATAGAGTAGCTGATGCCCGCCGTCAAGCCCCCCCCCCCCTCCCCCCTCCCCCCAAGTGTTCTCATTAGGCTCAAGACGCCTACGCCCCGAGGTACCGCTCAACCAAAATACGGCTTCTTGTTTCTCTTCTACTTAGCGTTCACCGGTTGAAATTCTGGCGGGAAATCCTGGTTGTTCGTCCACCTCAGGACTTCAATCTTGTTCCAAAACTTGAGTTTTGCGTGCAAGTCCCTTTTACTGTATTGGCTTAGTTGAATGAAGAACGTTGGTTTCTCGCCTCTCAGGCTGGCGCACTCCTTCTTCGAACGAAACGCCTCTAATTAGTCGCCTTTTACGACATACTTGTTTAAATAGGTGGTGGGTTTATTTCCCACCCCCGCCCCTCCCCATAAAGGACCGCCCAGAATCCACATCGGGAAAGTGTTATTGATCTTTAGGTACATTTTGTAAAAATTATTCTAACAGTAGGCGATGTAATTTATGAACGATTTTTGTTACAATAGATTTTTTTACGCAGTCACAGAAACTTACACACTAGGAACTTTCACCTAAAACTCCCTTTTGTTAGTTCTCCTGTCTAGTACCGTTTTCCGTCTAGGGTTGAAAAAGTTAGTTCCGTATCCTTTACAGGACGTTGCAGAACCAACCCCAGTATTCTTTGACTCTTGTGATTTTAGTCCACTAGTTTGCCATTGCTTTCTGGATGGTCAGCTTCTTGATACCACTGTCGAAACCAACGCAAAGCACAAGGCCCGCGGCTGGGATGGAACCCGGCACCCCGGCATTACGAAGCGCGTTTGCAACGCCTAAGCCACAGACGTCGACACTGTCTAGGGTAGGGTAATGTAAAAGACCCTTGTCCTCGCCTATCGGATTGGCCGGATTTATACTTAACGATGCCCTAAGCTATATCAAGTTCCGAGGCCCCTACAGTTTTAAATAACACCCGCAAATCTAGACAACTGTACAATATATACACCTTTTAAATATATGAACAATAGAAATAAATGATTGTTTTTTTTAAAAATTTTTTCGTTTTATTTAATTAGAAATCATTAAAAATGTGCAAAAAATCACAGAAATCGTTATATAATCTTCCGCAAAACAGATATATTAAAAGAAAATTGCATCTAAAACACATTAAAAAAAACTATCTTTGTGATGTGGGTGTATGTGTGCGTGCGTGTGTGTGTGTGTGTGTGTGTGGGGGGGGGGGTGTAGCCTTTTGCATACTGTGAGGCCCTTATTTAGCTCAAACCTGAATATGTCACTGTGTATTGGGTATAGAATACTGTACCTGCCACTCGGTAAGTGATATGTTAACATCGCGTCGGCCATTTTCACTCCCCTAACATTCAACTGTTGCCCATTTTAGGCTGCGTCGACCTGGCAACCCAGGTCATTTTGAAAAGTAAACATCCACCTCCAAACGGATTCAAACACAGGACATTGGGGCTCATAGGCGAGTTTCTAGCTGTTACCCCAAGATGGCGCCCCGTTTTGACACTTCTTTGATATTCAGTGTCAACCGAATTTCATATCTAATTTATTATTGTTTGAAGGTTTCATGGTAAGCACTAGCGATGTTTGTGCTGTATTCCTTTCTTTGCTGATCTAATCTCACATTTTAATTATTTTTGAAATAATTTGTTTTACATTTTAATCATGTCCACATTAGGGGGTTGGGGGGGGGGGGTGATTTTGAGGCACGGTGACTGCCTAGTGCTAGAGATTCCGAGTTCAATCCCTGGTAAGGGCTGGGTTTTTTTTTTGGCCAAGTGTATTGGACTTCTAGTAATCAACCCCCCCCCCCCCCCCCTGGTCTCTGGGTAGTGAGATCGGACGCCTGTGTGTATTGTTGCGCATGTAAAAAATCCCTTGGCAGTTGAAAATCGAAAAGAGTAGCCTAACGGAGCTGCCAGGGCAAAATTTGGAGTTACAAGTCTACCCAAAGTATTTCAGGATCCCCGCCGGTGCTACAGAGCATGTGCACTGTGCTGAGATTTTTCGGATTCAGATTTGATTTAGAAGATGAACGGAGCACTTACGGGTTATTACCTGTGTGTCATGATGTTGATCAGTTGTTCAAACTTCAAACAAACCGTCCATATTATTCGTTTAACCCAGTGTTTCCCAAACTGTTCTTGGTCGCCACGCCTTTTTTTAATTACAAGTTTTTTTTCCACGGTGCCCTAACCTAAGTAAAAGGATGACTATTCGTATATAGGAGATTTAAAAAAAAAAATCGTGTATCTTAATATTTCGCAGCGCCCCTGTGAAGAGGTGGCGGCTCCCCAAGTTGCCTCGGCGCACAATCTGGGAATCACTGGTTTAACTGATTGCAGTTAGTTTTAAAAAATACGAAATATTCACCTATGCTTTTATTGCTGCTTTTTTGTGACAACGTTATCCAAATTTATTTACATGTAAATTCTTCTTCCCCATTTGTGTAAACCTTTCTATCATCGTGAGAGTCTGCAATGTATCATCTTCCCCGATCCGTATTTCTATAAATGTTATGTTTGTCAAATGTTTCTTTCTCTGACAGGTTCGATTCTCTAGCCTTCGAATTGTATGCTGTCTATTGTGTTCTTCTGTCTTTCTGTTACTTTCTCTAGATGCTGATCAGTGCATGTTCGTTTGTTTATTATGTACGATTTTGTTATATAAGATTGGTTGTTACAGTTGTGAACTCATTAAATTTTATTTTAGCTTAAATTTACTGCAGTCGGGTCGACTGTATCATAAAAATTGAAAATTATTTCGCTTTTCTTTGTTCTTTATGTTTGTAATTATTTATGTTATTATTTTAATGGTTTTGGTGTACGTGAACTGTCTGTTTACAGCAGAGCTGAGATATTTGATCATTTAGGCTGGCAGGACATGCTTATACTAATTTAAACTTACAGTGACCCGCCCCACCCCCCAATTAATAAAAAAAAAAAAAAAAAAACATTATCAATAACTTTATGAATTAAATGAAGATAGCATCGCGGAAACGGGAGAAATTTGAATG